GCATGATTGAGAGAGCCGAGATGTAAGGAGCGTGTTCATTGGTTGTGTCCGTTTTCCTGGTCACATGGTCCACGTGTTCGCTTTATAAGCCTACCCTGGGTGGGGAATCGTCAGTCGTCACTCACCAGTATCTGGTAAGCACGGTCGACACCCGCGTCCTGAACCAGGATCATTCATTATTATTTTAGGGCTTTCGTTGAGGTATTAGATTAAAATGTATGGGTGGGGGAAAAAGTAGAGTAGGGATTGAATAGGTTTATTTTATAGACGCTTTACTTTTGGGAGTTCAGTTAGAGGGGTGGTTAAGAGTACAAGTTTAAGTTATAAGGTTGAATAGGTTTAGGTTTACGTAGGTAGGGAAGGGGGAAAATTAAGTAGGGTATAGATAAGAGAAGGATTTTGCCCCTGTTGTTTTTTTTCCTGTTAAATAAACATTAAATCCAACGTCATTCTTTGTGTTTTGTTTAGAATTAGAATTGGTTACCCGGTCAGGAGCCTCCTAGAACGTAGAGACAAAAGAATACTGCACAGGGAGAGGAGAACACAACGCAAAATACCACAGTATAACATCTGACCTTTTTGTCAACTATCTCTATAAGTCTACTGTCACTGGGTGCCTTTTACAGGCTTTAGAGGGCGCCTATTACATATATTTGTCTTCTGTTATTGTTTTCAGTTGCTATTATAAAGAGCCTTCCACCCCTATGGGAAGGTGAACACATTTTCTCATATATGGAGTGTCCTGCTCACTCAACAAAACGTTGCACCTCAAAGAGTTCCATCTTAAACCGGTCATGGTAGAATGGCTACGCGTTCGGTTTCAAATTCAATTTAGCGCGGTTAAATCTACAGGTAACGTAGCTCTACATTGAAAACACAGTAGGTTTATCTCCTAATTCCACCACACAGCTCACACAACAAAAGACGTTCACTCCTGACCCAAGCAATCTTACATAACACCTCTAAAGCTCACAGCTTACATACAGTCCAACCACACTCTTACACATACAATCAAACCAACTTCAGAGAAATATATACACTGTGATCTTTACAGTCATATAATGTCATTCTTCAATTCTGTGCTCGAAACATCTCTTCCCATCTCACAATTATTACCTAAACATCGAAGTTTTCCTTGAATGTGCGCATTTAGATATAATACGTCAGAAGGTAAGGGATGTGTCAGTGGACAGTAACAACAGTCTTTTAGTTTCAACTCAAACCTGTTTCTAAAACAGTGGCATAACTGCATATATGCTTGCCTTTCACCGCAATCCATCGATCCGTCTCGTATAGTAACTGCCCTTTATAATTATAAAAGGGAAACTAATCTAACCCTTGTCTATGAGACGTTTCATTTCTTGCCAGACTGATTGTCCTGTCATAACGTCAGGAAGTGTAGTCAGATGTTAGCACAGCGGACACAGTTCGGGTATATTTCGGCCACACCAACTGTTTTAATTTGTAAAAAGTCCCAACCCGCAGATCCAGCCTCGCTGGCGTGCTCGCTAAATTGTTTCGAAATCTTTTCTCTCCAAAGTTGCTAAAACTTGAAAAATGCCTTAGCTTTGTCACAGTTAAACATTGAGTTTCAGTATATTTGTCTTTTCTTTTGGTAAGGATAGCAATTATCAAAATAGTTTCTCTTAATTCCCGATGTTTAACTCTGACTTCATCGCCGAATGGCAACGGAGACGCCATGTTTGTTTGTAAGCGCTGAAGTTAGTCCCAACTTGATTTTTGATTTTTGCATCTCTAACTGCATATGACCCTAACGGATATCTTTTTATCTGTTTGCTTTTTTCTGCCTAGATAACTACCCATTATAAAAATAAATTATTAACACTTGAAGCATATGTTAGACGAACAGAAATTATTAGGTCACTGAACATCTTAGCTTTCACATTGAAAGAGAATAAACGCCATTCCTAATTCCTGAAAGAGTACTAATTCCTTGTCGATAAATGAGGACTGCAATTGTGACATTTTAGAAAGTGATTTTCCAAATACTTTTGAACATTTCATTATTCGTATGATTTACAAAAATTGGTACGTGACTGGTCCGTTGATGCTAGAAAATGACAATTATGATCCAAATACTAGTTCCTGTGATGAGTTTGCCAATAACATGTAGAACCGCCACGTATCTGGGCGACCACCTAAAACCTCCGCTTGCTGCCTCCTGAGAAACTACTTGGGTGCACTGACGACAATTGATGTGGATAACACATTAATTACAAACGATTACAAGAAAATGAGCTGTCTTACTGACTGTCTGTCTGATTGTAATACCCTTTACAGTGCGTGTAAATAAGAACTGAACGTCAGTTTGGATGGGTTCATTGAAGTGTGAACGATTTAAAAGCGCTGATTAAACTGTATGAACCTCCGAGCTTGCGATCATCATCGTCGACTGCGTTTACAAAGCCGCATACAACGTGTACGCTGGGTACATAATAAGTGAAGACAAGTGGTGTTTTCAGACGAATCTCGGTTTCGAACGCTCCGATCTGATGGACGTATTCGAGTGTACAAACGTCATGGTGAACGTAATGCCAATACCCGTGTCATGGTTGAAGTTCGGTCTTGTGGGGGAATAACAGCAACACAGAAATCACATTTGGGTTTTATTGTCGGGAATCTGAATGCCCCGCGTTACAGAGATGAGATAATCCATTCTGTGGTGCTGTTGTTTCTTCACAAACACGTCCCCAGTATGATCTCACAGGAACACAACGTCAGACCACACGTGGCAACATCCTGTACAGAATAATGTCAATGTTCTACCCTGACCTGCTTGCTCTCCCGATCTTACCCTGATTGAATATGGGACGAGATGGAGCAACGTTTTGGGTCACTTATCCCATGCACCGAATTCATTGCAGAAGTTGCGGAACGCACTTGTTTTTTTCTGGAATTCCATTCTATTGGAGTTTATGCGACGTGAGGTGCATTCATGTTCATATAGGGGCCACACAGCCAGTAGTGATTATAGTGACACCTCTGGTTTTTCATCTTTGCGTGGTCAGTGTGTGTGTGTGTGTGTGTGTGTGTGTGTGTGTGTGTGTGTGTGTGTGTGTGTGTGTGTGTGTGTGTGTGTGTGTGTGTGTGTGTGTGTGTGTGTGTGTGTGTGTGTTTGTGACGTATATGCGAAAGATCCTTCATATTCATGAAATGGTGTGTGCCTAGCAAGTAACAGATGCAGATGTTATCAAACACCTTTATTGGTCACCGTGCGCGATTCGATTCTGACGATAGTTCCATTAGGTCATATATTTCATTTTACAACATTATTAATGGTGATGTGGGGTGATCAGCGTGTATTTTAACTTCATATTTGCATCCTTGACGTGTATATATAAGCACGTAGACTTCCATGCATATATACCTGCCAACAGAAATCATCCAACACTGCCACAGACTGAAAAAGGTAATTTACATTGCTATTTATTGATCAATTATTTCATCTTTTTTTGGTGAATAGAGGCAATAAGCCATGTGTACATGAATAGAGATCGTATATGTATTTAACATTCGAGGATACGAGGATTACTATATTAGTCTCCCAAACCCTACAGAATAAATGACACGATTCAAGAAATTTCATCAAATTAGAGCCTTGCAGATTTGGTTAGTCCTTGAAACTAAGCACTGTTATGGGAACCATCCTTTGCTGTAGATATATATTTTCAAAGAAGATAACATTATTTATGGGAATGAATGTTAGTCTAATCGTATCTGTGATGTAATGGATAGAGTGTCTGCCTGGGGAGCATAAGGCCGGTGGTTCTGTCTTATGGTCGCGTCATGCTACATGACTTTAAAATATGGTACTTAATCTTACCCTGCCTGGCACTCTGCATGAAGGGGAAAAATAAGACTGGCTTGCTCGGATTCAGTGTACCGTGTGGGATATGCATATCTGCATATAAACTCTGCAGCATGGCACCTCAGTGGGGCAGAACAATAAAACCTCATACGTCCGGACTAGCACAAGCAGCATTGTCGCAAAGACCTAACATTTTACGTGTGTATTTTACATTTTGTAGAAATATATGGCTCAGACATTAGAAGTAGATGCAGCCCATACGTTATGTTCCATATTGCTTAAAACATAAGAATGAGAAATTACCCAAATGGTGTTATTTGATATCCAGGTATTTGCATTTCACTGCCACATGAACTCACCAAGGCGTATCTTTTCCCTATGGTTACATTCATTCAAACCCAAAGGGATGAATAACGTTTCGTAATGAAAACCTCCTCAGCTTACAATGCTAGAATATCAAAAGATTTCGACCATTTCAATCTGTTTTGAACCTTGCTTTTTTCGTTCACAAAGCTGAAATATATTGTTTATTTCAAGACACATTGTGAGGCATCATGTTAAATAAACGGATATACTATCATGCACCAAATTGACACCTTCAGTCTTAGCCTAGGAAACTGATTACGATCAATAACTTTTTGTTATGATGCTCAATTTGTCTGTCACAATCTCAGCAGTTTCATGCTCAGTCAGAGGGTGAATTTCTTTTGATATTGATTATTTTAGAATAATATGATGTCGTTTTTACTGTCAATGTTATTTATTAATATAGCATATATATAGCACCACTTCGGAAACCCTTTGGTTAATATTGCGTTTGTGCAATTGGACTCTCCAAAAATTAAGCGCTCATTGCTATTATGGCTTTGGTGTTCTGGCCCCAAATCTCCTGAAAAAGTAATTATTCATTGTCTATAAATGAGGACAACAATTGTGACATTTTAGAAAGTGGTATTCGAAAATATTGTTTGAACATTTCATTATGCGTATCATCTACAAAATTAGCACGTGACTGGTCCGTTGATGCTAGGAAATGACAATTCTGATCAGAACATGAGTTCCTGTGACGAGATTGTGAAAGGGCAATTATCACTTATAATTATTCCAGTTTGCCTCACCGCTTAACTCACGGAATCCTTAGACAGTATATAACAACTTGCTGTAAATAACAATGCTCCTGCTGGTCGCTGGTGTGATCACCATGATGTGTCTCCCCCTGTCCGTTCTTGGCGCTTCCGGTTATAGAGATGCTCTTATATACAAAGTGGAAATCGTCCTTCCGCCCAAGGAGGGAAGGGACGAGACTGCGGACATACAGCAGATTAAGGAGACGGTGAAGCATCTAAATGACATTGATGTTCTCTTTTCATTTAAGGTCTGTACAATTGTGTTACTAACAAGACATGTACACATTCGTTAAAAATGCACAGCACATCATCGATCACCCAGCTCTCATAATTATGTATCCCTTATATAACTAGAAATACCAAGGACAGCACCATCTATATCTACATCTCTGTTAGGAGATCTGCAAACTGACACTAAAAATTAAGTGGTTTTGATAGGACGAATAATTAAAGGGTTGTATAATTTGAATCGAAGAACCCTGTTAACAGATAGGTCCACGGCACTAATTATTAAATCATGAAGATATAATTTACTGGATCATTAAGTTGTGAATAGCCATACATATTGCATATACATGTCTATATGAAATAATGATACGTTACTTAGATAAAGTCGCACAAAACGTGAATTCCATGACATATGTTTGTAATTTCTGGATAAAAAAATAGGTCATTGAAAGTACATACAATTGAACAATAGTAGTATGTGCTGAAAATAAGTCGCATGTATTTCTTTTTTCTTTTGTTTTGAGCAGGAACTCGGGAATCCAAGGATTATTCTTAGTAAGTCAACTTAACAATGTTCTTTAGATATCATTTTACATTTTGAACAGTTCGTATTTCATTCGGTATTCCTTATTCCTTGGGACATTTGCCACTGAACGTTACACCATTCAAGGTCTTAGAACAAGCCTAAAACAGTTGTATGATATACACCTGGAGGACATCCAAAATTGAAGTCATCAGTGACGCAAAAAGAATGTCTGAATTAATTCCCTATTTTGACTAAGATGTGTTCCCCTTCTTTATACCTCTTCTGTGGTGGTTAGTATACTTGGAAATTTGGGTACGAATTATTAACAAATGACATATATTTAAGTTATTCAATATGTTTTTATGTGCTTCTTTCAAAAAGGCTGAGGGATGCTACTGGTCATCCTCTCATGTTGGGACTCACAGAGACAATATCTTGATTTGTCCTTTTATTTGGCAAACTGCTGGAAATATGATTTCCATAAACTACATGTAGTTTACTTACATGTTATATGTATTCGGGTATTGACATGACCAATCATCCTGCATGTGACTGTAAATGCACTTGGACGTTCAGAGAAAGATATATTGTGTTCATGTAAGTGGAACATTTAATTCATCCATACAGGACTTAATGCAAAGACATTCTTCTTCAAAATATATTTTTATTGCATGCGTTTTAGTTCTTGACGTTGAGAAAGCATGCAGTTGGCCTCAACTGACAGGCTTTCTGTCAAGCCAGGGATTTGAGTTCAGCGTCACATCCCTCTACCACTGCAGTGACTTCGCCAAGGAGCTTGGTCTCAACCTGCCCAACGACATGTGGGTATCATCGTACGGGAATGATGACCTTCTCATGGAAAAGCAGATATTTCCTGTGAAAGGTAAATACTACATTCCAGACGAAGCGCCAGAGGGTTATCAAGCGTAATAGAGTATCACCTTGAGGTTATCTGCATGGTGTCAGTGTTGATGCAAATAGTGTAATCGGAGAATCAAGAATATATAACAACATGGTTTTGAGCAAATACACTCCGAATGTTGACAGATGTGAAGCAATCTATTGTAAATGTAAATAATCTCAAACGAAAGTCGGATACCAGTGGTGAATACGCAAGGTACTAAAAGTAAAACAAATATGTCCCAACCTATTCTTTGTATATCTAACAAAACATGAAACTTCATCCCTTCTGAAATGTGGTGATGCATCCATGAATGTTGGATGAAAGGGAAGCTGATACTGGTAACACAATTCGACCACGCACATGCACATACTGTGTAACACCCTTTCGATAAATAAATAAGAAGAAGCCACAAGAATTTATAAATGTAATATCATTTCACGTGAAACAAAACTATTACATGATGGTGTGAAGAAATAAAATCGGCACTGGCCAAGTTTGGTTGTGGCTATTGTGTTTTTAAGTTGAATGGATTGAATGAAAGTAAAATAATATATAAACACATTTTTCTCACATGATAGATACTACGTAGGCATACATATCCTAATCCTTCATTACTGCTGAAGTGCTGTTGTGTTCACCACACGGGGTGGTGGGGTAGTTTGGTGAATAAAGCGTCGGCTCGTCACGCCGAAGACCAGGGTTCGATTCCCCACATGGATACAATGTGGGAAGCGCATTTTCCGGTGTCGGCCATCGTGATATTGCTGGAATATATGCTTAAAGTGGCATAAAACCGTACTCACTCAAATATGAACTGTTCACCACACCTTGTTATTAAATCCATTCTGAGATTCCTACTACATCATAAGCGTGTGTTTATGAATCCCTATCAAATGGTTATAAGAAAACCAAGAAAACTTTCAATCAATAAACGAACGAACTATTTCTATAGTCTTTAACCTATAGTCTCATGAATTACCTCATCAACCATCATGTCCATTCCAGACTTGTCAACACTTGAGTACATAGAAAAGCTGAAGTGGACATTCGAGAAAGATTTAGCCATTATTAAAAACGGTCAGCCAGCGGAATGTTTCAAAACTCTCGCAGAGTTTCCGGTTGAGGTAATTATGATAATCTTCTTTACAAATTTCTTTGTTTTAGTGTCTTACTTTCTCTCTATAGAACTTGTAGCCTTCAGAAATATGCAAATGTGACATATCAATAGATAATTAATGTTGACTCAGTTGTTAATCTGTTGTCTTAATTATTTATTTATTAGAATAACAACCACGAACATGCATCTTTACTATCTCAGAACCCCAATACTTTAACAACGGTATTATCGTTTCATGTTATGGGATTTCAGTATATTTTAAAAAGATTATGTGACAGTGGCATGCATTATAGAACGTGATATGTTGTGTCACAGCAGGGCAAGGCAGTTACATAGAACGTAATCCATAGAAATTGGACGAATCACTGTGACGTCATGCTTATTCTCGGTTGTCTCCACAACAATATATGTATTGATGTTTATCGCAGTAAACAAAATGTTCATTGTTTATTAGTAATGATCATATTTCAAATCATTTCAGCTGGTGTACTTCGGCCCAGCTAGTCAAAGTAAGATGGAAGCAGAAGAAGACCTATTGCACGGACCTAATACCTTTCACAATGAAGTCTCACGCATAGAAAAACTTGATGATTACACAGGAGTGTGCCAAGGAGACTAAACGGATGTGACAACTGTATAACTGAACAGATATTTATACAATATTTAGAACACAGAAATCCTGATGAAGATTCGCAACAAACGCATTGTATTTTACTGACAAACATTCAAATAACAAATAGTTTGAGTTCGTTTCCGTGTGAGCTGGAGCACCTGGAGATGACACATAGTGTCATAGAGCTGTGTCACGTTGATAAGTATTGCACATTTTGGAAATTTCACATGAGGGATTACTTGAATGTATAACATTCGGTTGTAGGCCAAGCACTACATGTACTATTGATGTCTTCTGACCACCACAAAATGCAGCGTCTGATTTTCTTAGTTGCAGCATTACTGCTTACATGTATATCACGGGGATCTGTTCCTTGCACCTTGCAAACCACTACAGGCAGCCAACCACAAGAATGACTTGACAGTGACGCAGCAGGTGGGGAAATCAGCAAGTGTCATTACCGGATAAGATCGACACGTTCGTATCCTATTCTGGTTGCAACCTTTCCGTCATGTAGCTGTAACATTACTGAGTGTAGCCTGAAACAACAAACATCTTGTCGCTGTATGACCAAGACATTTAATAATGTTGCATTCACTCACTGATAGTCAACCAATCGTTGACGAATTTTATTTTAGATAATATATCCCCGATCATATGGCCATCACATGATTGGTGAGTTTGGTATAACGCCATTTTTAACATTATTCCAGTCATATGTCAGCTGGATGTTGGATGGAATCCTGACGTGATGCAGGCTGTAGACGTTTAGACGCAAACGTATTGTGCTGAAAAACCAAGAAACATAATTGGGGCAAACCAGGATTCGAACCAACAATCTTAGCATTCTGTCTTGCCGATGGGCCGCTACTCTGCCCCCCCCCCCCCCCCCCCCCCCCCCCCCACACACACACCACCACTCCACACACACACAAACACACACACACACACACACACACACACACACATACATACTCCACACACACACCTCCCCGATCATATGATGATGACAACTAAAACGTCAACGTTAGAGAATAATAAGGTTATATTATCTGCCAAAACCGAATCCAAACTCAAAATAATGATAGAAATAATATGGAAATGTCTGCCACGCGTTTACCATCAATACTTATGTTCTGTGGTGACTGTATGAAAGAGAATAAACACTAGCTGACAATGATACATCCATGTTTTACAATAACCTCAAAGATTATCTTGATGTGGTAGGATTTGTAAAGATACCTGCAAGTAGGAGGTTTTGGGTCAGTCATGCCACAGAAACTAACAATCATGAAGCCATGTTTTACAAAATTATGAATGTTGACAGTACCCTTGACTTATTTTCACCAACATCTGTACCCGCATACTAAAGGTATATATTGTCTAGTTTGATGAAAAACGTATTTAGAAACGTTTTGAGAAAGTGTCCACTAGAAGAATCAGGTGGTCAGACACCAGAAATACGCTTCACACATTGTACCCATGTCGGGAATCGAACCCGGGATCCAGACATGAATATCTTCAGGCTGCCATGGTGAAGTGGGAGTGAATAAGATATACTAAGAAGTAGTATAGGTAATGGGGGTTCTGGCTCACTTCCACTGGAGCCGGATTCATATACCTATACTGCTACTACAGATGGAATTTTTTATGTCAAAATGATTATGCGATTTAACGATAGTCATGAGATTCAGCTAAATTGGCTCCAGCTCATCAATACCTGGAGTCAATGATATAAATTTTTATAGGTAATGATGGTTCTGGCTCACTTCCACCGGAGCTGGATTTATATTAAACGAAATATCAATATTAATTAATAATGGATAAAATTTACTATAGCCCACGAGGATATTGGAAAGGTGTAGGAGCAATAAAAAAATTAGCCACCGCGGCTAAGGTATCTAAAAATGTGGCCAAGGATTGGTTAAAGAAACAAGCGATGTGGCAAATATATTTACCGGCACCGCGTTATATACCGAGGAAGAAGTTTGATATTTTTACAACTAATGAAGTTCATCAGGCTGACCTCTTGTTTCTTCCCCACGATAAGGTAAAACGCAAAACGTATAAATACGCTTTAACGGTAGTGGATGTGGCTAGTCGATACAAAGAGGCTGAGCCATTAACATCGAAAGAATCAACAGAGGTAGCTAATGCACTGAGTCGCATATATAAACGCGGACCGCTAAAATGGCCTAAGCTATTTCAAGTAGATCCCGGTCGCGAGTTTATGGGATTGGTAACTAAACTGTTAAAAAAGAACGATGTCAAAATCGTCCTTGGTGAAAGAGAGGCCCACCGCAGTCAAGCTATCGTCGAAAGATTTAACCGGACATTAGCGGAACGTTTGTTTGGCTATCAGTATGGGATCGAAATGAAATCCGAACGATTGAGATCAACCGAATGGGTGACACGATTATCAGCCGTTATATCAGCGCTGAATAATGAAGTAACGAGATTAATAGGGAAGAAACCATCCGATGCTATTAAAATGAAATCAGTGACTTCCGAATCTTCAGCACCGAGGAGAGGCAAAGAACGAAAACTTCCGGATAGAGTAAGGGCAAGATATTTATACCAGGCCGGTGAACTCGAAGGAGGCCTACGTCGCGCAACCGATCCCATATGGTCCCTTAAGACGTATAACATTAGTCGATTGGTTACGAAAGAAGGAGAGCCTATTCTTTATTATCTTCAAGATGGACCGGGTAGGGCATTTGTACGAGAAGAGTTGTTCATAGTTCCCGACGGTACGGTATTACCACCATAACCATAAGCATAGGTATTTACACCATCATTATCAATCCATCTCTTTGTATCTAAGGGGGATAATGATGTCTTGTTCATTCTTAATCCATATATCCTATGATTGTAACTTCTTAAAGAGTTCATCTCGTGTTTGAACGTTCTACGGTTGAATAATGATTCTTTATACTGTTCGTGTTTGATATGCTTTTTTACAACATACTTCTTAACACCCTTAGCTTTTCTTATCTCTCCATTATCGGACTTCTTTATAGAATACATCTTAGGTCTTAATCCCACATACTCCGCTATAGGGGTCCCAGCACATTCATCCTTCATCTTACCTAACACCTTTTTATTTACAATGCTGTGCAGTGGATTATCTTTTGGGTAATCGCTCGTGTCGTACATATCTATTTTTTCTGCCATATCTTTATACACATCCTCGGTTTGTATTTCCATCAACAAAGAATCTGTGTCGGTATATAACACCTCGCATCTATCGCCGTATTGCTTCTTAAGTTCGTTGTAATAAAAGTCATACATTAAGTGTTTTGACAAGTCGAGAATACTCATACCGACGTACACCGGTCTGTTGAATTTTATATTACTCTTCTGCATATGCAACGCGGCTAAGTCGTTATCGAATATCTTGCTTCTGTTAAAAGCCGGACTGGCTATAAGTTTCCTGAGTCTTTCTTCCTCATTAGATCTGACTAATTTAACATCAACACGCTTCCTTAGATTCTCCATAGTTTTACCAAATACCGAGTTATTCATGAGCTTATATAGATTCTTTTCGAAATCGCTGGTAGCTATCTTTCTTAAATCTGTGTTCAACCTTATATAGGGCTCCATCCAAGGGCTTTGATCGAACTTTAGAACTCTGTGTATTTTCTTAAGTTTCATACCTAACGATAGATACAACTGGAGATTTCTGTAGTGAACTATATATTTTGTCTTATCCATCAAATTTGGTACGAGTTTTTCTACGTTAGCTAACCTACTATTACCCATCAAGGAGCGTTGATATTCCGACATCCAATCTTTATTAACCATTAATCTTTCGGGAGCTAGCGGATAACTGTTATGATCTTTATGTAACAAACTTGGATATTCCAAGTCAACTTCTAGTATGTACCCTTTATTCACTTCGATATCATTATTATGGATATTATGGATATCATTCACTTCGATATCATTGACCCATTCAAAACCACCCGTGGGTAAAGGTTGACTCATAGCCCATCCGTACAAATTGTTAGCGTCGAGATATAATATGTGCGTGTCGGGTTTACTGGGATCGTATCCTTCCACTAATTTATTATTAGCCTTAGAATACCTTTTAGCTGCCATCGATATACCACCTCTTAATCCTTTCTCAATAAACAAGTGCATATCGTAATCTGTGAGTAGTTTTAGTTCTACGCCGGTCTTCTTCAACAATGCATCCCACGATAGTCCGGGACTGGAATAGTACCATGCGGGGTCCAAGCCATATTGTTTGAAACATGTCTTTCTAAATATCTCGAATATATCGGCGAGTAACAGTACATCGGTTTTTAAGTACAGATCGTGATAATCGCCTAAATTCTTTCAACCTAATTTATCCCACACCGTCAGAGCGTGTTCATAATCGGCATCTGTTATTCTAGATTCTGTTAAGTTACTATAGAATGATTCGAAGCATGGTAATTCAGTTTCTTCGAATCTAGACCAATCATCCATATATTCGTAAGGATATACACCTTTTCTCAGCAACAAATGACGAGTTATCTTATCGGTATATTTATTTGTTATCGCGAAGTCATCGGGATTGTTCGCATTAGCTAAATTGTCCAGGGAAGATAACAGAAACTGTACGGAGTCTATGAATCTAAGCCCATTACTTTGCTTTGTTCTAGATTTCCCATCCTTGTCCCTATAATGTATAGGTTTAGTCAACGAGAACGATATGTATTTTTCCATATTATTAGGAATGCACGTTAAACCGCCGTCGGTCTTCGAGGTAGCTTGCATAATGAGATGTGAATCGTATCCCCTAAGGTTATGAAACACAACGGGGATGGGTATTGTTTGAGAGTTCATTTTTAGTTTCAAGTTACACTCGTTATGAGCGGCTCCCCGATAATTACCCGTGACGTGACAATGATCTCTTACGGAATCCCCATCCAGGGGTTTATTACAAACGTAACAACTCGTTGACTTCTTATGGGCCCTCCAATCATCCCTCGTCATACGCATGGGTTTCTTACACGATAATTTTTCCCTGATTATTCTCTCTTCATTTTGTAGATATTCTAGGAACTTTCCCGCTGCATCGGGTCC